TATCTGTTCGTGTCTTCTGCCCATTCCAATCACATTTTTCAAAGTGCTGGAACAAACAATCCTAAAATTTGTATGGAATCAGAAAAGACCCCGAATCGCCAAGGAAATATTGAAAAAGAAGAAGAAAGTTGGGGGCATCACGTTGCCCTATTTCAAGCTATATTACAAAGCAGTGATCATCAAGACAGTATGGTACTGGCACAAAAACAGACATATAGACCAATGGAACAGCATAGAGAGCCCAGAAATGGATCCTCAACTCTATGGTCAAATAATCTTCGACAAAGCAGGAAAATGTGTGCAATGGAAAAAAGACAGTCTCTTCAATAAATGGTGCTGGGAAAATTGGACAGCTATACACAGAAGAATGAAACTCGACCATTCTCTAACACCATACACAAAGGTAAACTCAAAATGGATGAAAGACCTCAATGTGAGACAGGAATCCATCAAAATCCTAGAGGAGAACATAGGCAGTGACCTCTTTGACATCAGTCTTCTGAAAATTTCTATTTTCTCACTGAATAGGAAGAAAGGTCATCATCTTGTGAAATTGTGGTCTCAGATTTGGGGAATGTGAACTGCCTGGGGAAATGTGAGCAGGCCATTCTGAGGACTGAAAGGAAGTGAGACCAGTCAATATGACTGTGTGTTTTTCCTCAGACAGATTCAGCTGTTGGGTGCAGGTGTGGAACAGGCAGAGTTGGATTTAACCAGGGCTAAAATGTGTCTGAAGGAGAAGGGCCAAGAATAAAAGGGCAAGGGCTGAGAGGTGATGATAGTGTTGAACCTTGGGATATACACTGAGTAATGAGGGGAATGAAAAATTGAGGGGATCAAATATAATGAAGTGTGAGAAAGTTGATGGATGGAAGATCTTTCATGGGATTGAAGAATTTTGGAATGGGATGCTGAATGGAGGAGGGGGTGACATGCAAAGACTGAACAGATTTGGAAGAGGTAGCTGTTATTGATGGTAACCAAGTTGAAGGTATGACAGTGGGAGAAGAGTGGCTAAGGAGTGGGGAAAAACCTCAGTGGAAGTGAGGTAGGCCAGGACCTGACCAGTATGCTGGATGGTTATCTACAGGGATATCAAAGCCACCCAAAATAATGAAATGACAGAGGTGGTGGTAGAGAGGAAGACAGTAACCTAGGTACTAAATTTTCAATGAATTAGGGGGAATGATGACCCAGAGTCAAATCATGGGAGAATGAAATCTCCCATGTAGATGTTAGAAGGGGCCAGAGCCTTTCCCAGAGGATGGAATCTCTGTCCATGGTGGTGCAAGAGCCAAGGGCACCATGCCGGGAGGGAAATGAGATAAAGTGGGTGGAGAATCAAATTGGAATATGCCTTCACTTCACTCCAGAATCAAATGAATATGCCTCCAGACTCCAGGAGTCTGGGTGAAGTGATCTGGAAGAAGTCATTGTGATTCACTTCTTCCTCTGCCTAATTCTCTTCCATTCAATTGAGTTCAAAGATTGGTACAAGAGGTTTTACCTGATGAGGATCTAAAAACCAGAGAAAAGCCAAATTTGGCTCCTGCCTTCAAGCAGCTCTCAAAATAAGACGTGTACATCAAGATCTCAGGTGAGAAGAGATGGGAAAATGCAGATAAAGTGAACAATGTATAGGTGTTAGACCTGCATACCTTTCTGTTAAAGAACATTGCTCTAGTTGAAGCCACACCTTTTGGGTTTCCCCCTTCTCCCTTTGTGGTCCCTAAACTGCTTCTAAGCCTGTAATTCCCAACCTTAGCTGCCCTTTGGAATTACCTGGGGATGTCTAAAGAAATATTGATGCCTGAGTCCCACCTCCAGAGATTGTGATTTAATTGGTTCAGGATGTGACCTGGGCTTTGGGATTTTTAAATGCTCCCAGATGACTCTAATGTATAGCCAGGGGTGAGAATCAGTGCTCCAAGGAATGTCTGGAGCTCTGTTTATAGAAACCACTGCTTTAGTCCAAACCATAGGAGAGAAATTCCTTCTGGCTTGAGTCAGGGGGTGAATTGATCTGAGCCCTGAAGGATAGGTAAATTTTGGCCAAGTGGAGATGCAGATGTGAAGGAGGAGAACATCATGAGCACAAGTTCAGATGTGGTCTGAAACACCCGACAAGCAGCAAACAATTTGGTTTGTAAGAGATAGAGTTTAGAGAATGAAGTCTAAGATTTGAGAACAGCTGGGCAAGGACCTGGGGGTGGGAATGATGAGTAATTCAGTTTGGTTGGAGATTAGGTTGAAGAGAGAAAGCTGGATGTTTTTAAATTATGGAAGGGGTTGAAGGCCAGATTACAATTTTATAAATAATTGAGTAAGCAATAGGGAATCTTGAAGGGCTTTTGAGCAGTGAAGTTATAAAAGAAATGTGTTTAGGGACAGCAGTGTTGAGGGAAATCGGGAGCTGCAAGAGGCAAGAAGTAGGGTGACCTTTCAGAGGAACTGTTGCAGCAATCCTGGCTGAGGTCATTTTTCAGACAAGGGCTGGGGAAAAGTTACAGATTCAAAAGATATTATGATGATAGAATTGATTTGGCTTGACAGCACACCAAAAGTAAAGGCAGGAGGGAGATGGAGAAAGCCTCAAGTTTTCAGACAAGGGTGATGGGGAAATGGTGCCATTAACAGAAACAGGGAAGCAGGTTTTCCATGGCATTTCATAATTTTGGTTTGGAATATGATGAATTTAGAGGATCAGCTGTGTGGTCCATGTGGCCATATTCCACTGGCACTGGAAGAATGCCTACATATATATAGCTTGGAGAATGTCTCAGTCAACTCAGACTGCTATAACAAAATACCATAAACTGCGTGGCTTATAAACAACAGAAACATCTCACAGTTCTGGGGACTGGAAAGTCCAAGATCCAGGTGCTGGCAGACTTGGTATAAGGTGAGAGCCCCCTCTGGGACACAGAAGGTTGAATTCTCACTGTGTCCTCATGTGGTGAAAGGGGCAACGGAGCTCTCTGGGGTCTCATTTAGAAGGGCACTAATCCCATTCATGAGGGTCTGCCCTCATGACCTAATCACCTCCCAAAGGCCCCACATCACAGTAGGATTAGATTTCAACATATGAATTTGGGGAACACAAACACTCGGTCTATGTCATAGAAACATTTAGTTAGAAATGGTATCTGAGTTTGGAGTAGATGAGATTTTTAAGGGAACGTCTCAGAAAAGGAAAAAATCTAGAGATGGATACTTAGGAGAAGGGAGGAAAAAAAAAGAGAGGAGAGGAGGAGGGGGATGATTAGAAGTATGTGCGGAAGTAGAGGGGGGGAAAGATTACATGTCCCTGAACCAGGGGAGTAGAGAGTCTAGGGTCAAGGGACAGACCTAGGAAGGTTCACAGAGGCAGTGTGCACATACTCTGCAAATACCATTGATTTTGGTTCCTGGTAACTTCTGGTCATTGGGTATGATTTGAGGGAGCAGTTTCAGTAGAGTGGGGAGTGGAAGCATATTTTAAAGGGTTAAGAAATTTAAAAAAAAAGGGTTAAGAAATAGTGGGTATGAAAGAAAGAGACACAGACACATCCCTGACAATACTTATTTAAGGGGGGGTGGCTAGTGAGTAGGTGGTGAGGAAGCGGAAGCTGCAAATGTGAATTCTTTTTTCAATCTGTTTGGTGAGCGAAGCACATAAAATCTGAAACTTCCAAAGGAGAGCCCACAATTTCCATACTCCATCCCATCCTCCTCCCGTGTGTCCTGTCTCAGTGCATGGCTTTCCTTCTAGATCCTAAACCCCGTGAGGTCAGTGTTCACATCCATGGTTTCGGCAGATGTCACACCAGCATCCCGCAGACGCATGTTGTATGAATGCACAAATTCAGCATAGAACCCTGGCCCGCAGGTGTACAGCTGAAGATACCGAGTCCACTGCTTATGCGCTGCCCGCACCCCCACCAGAGGCCTCCTGGTTGACCTCAGGCTAGGAGAGGGCAACTAGCTCCAGCTGGACTTTGAGAGCCTAGTGACCTCCTCCCTGGGGCTCTGCTGTGTTCTGAATGTTTGTGGTCCCTCCAAAACTCATATGTTGAAATCGTAATGCATAATTTGATGGTTTTAGGAGGTGGGGTCTTTGGGAGGTGCTTAGGTCAAGAGGGTGGAGCTCTCATGAATGGGATTAGTGCTCTTATAAGAGACCCTATAGAGCTCCCTTGCCCCTTAACAAGTAAGGATACAATGATAAGTCTGTAACTCAGAAGAGGGCCCTCACCCGACTATGCTATGCTCTCAGACTTCCAGCCTACAGAACTGTGAGAAATAGATTTCTGTTGCTTATAAGCCACCCAGTCAATAGTATTTTTGTTATAGCAACCTGAAGGGATTGAGATGGCCTCCCATAGCACTCTGCTCCCTTTGCCTATACAGGTACAACAAACCATGTAGGGCTCTAATCGAAGTTGTTTGCCACCCTCTGGCTCAAACGCAGGAACAGCTGCAGGCAGTTGGCATCTTTTCCCTGTCACCCTGTCCCTGACCAACTTCTTCAGAACAGTCTGTCCTTTTCTCCTGATTTCCTGGAGTTCTGGGGATAGATACTTGGGTCTACCTGTAAATGCTCTCTCTTCAAAGCCCTAAGCCCAGTCTAGTAGGAAGTGGAAAATGTGTACTAGGGAAAGAAATCCCCATCATGAATGGATCTCATACCAGATCTCCCTGGTGGAATTCCTAAGGAGACCCCTGCCCCTGCCCCCAGCCCCCAGAGTTGTGTTTGTCTTTCTGGTGTCTTGGAGATCTGTTCCTCCCATTTTTGTCTCTGTCAGTTTTCTTTATCTTTCTTTCCCTTGGAAGGGAAGCTAAGGGGAGGTAAAAGGGGCAAACAAAAGAGGAGGGTCTTTGCAAGGCTGCAGTCTTTGGAATTGCGGGTGATAAATCCACTTAGTCTCTTTAATATTCTTTCAGAAATTCACACACACACTCACACACAAATCAGAACAAGGTGGGGACTGCCGAGGGGAGCGGGGAGCGGGCTGGCTCCTCCGACGCTGGGAGGTCCGTACGCTGGGTTACCTTCTGCCCAGCTGCCCACTGGTTGGGACAGGTGGAAGGGAATATTTACAGAGAAAGGGGGCTTTCGTCATCCCAGGGTGAAAGGTCCTAAACTGGGAACCTCCCAAATCTCATTCCAAAAATACCAAAAGTAGAGGTTCTGGGATTAGCAAGAAAATAGGAAGAGACCGGGTGGAGACAAAACTGTACTACGAAAAGATGAGAGAGCGTGGGGGCGTGGCTACCCGGGGCTGGGTCCCTGCGCCAGGAGAAGGGGAGGAGTTTGTCAGTGTGGGGAGAGGCCTACGGCCACAACCCAATCACTGGACTGAATCACCCCGCGGGGACGAAAAGAAGGCGGAGCCTGCCGACCTGGAGGCGGGGTTTTGTTGGAGCCGGGGCGGAGCCTACAGAGGAGGCGGGGCTTTGGGGACCAGTCTCCGGCTGGGGAGCGGAGACCAAAGGAGCTCGGCTGGGGGCGCTGCATTTAGAGGCGGCGGGGGACTGGAGTGACTGAGGGTCGGGCATTTGGCGGGGATCCTGGGAAGTGGTATTTCTGGGGGTGGGGGTTTTTTCGGGGTTCCTGAGGAACTGGATTCGGAGCGTGCCCGCAAGGCGAGAAGTTCCGTGGAGGCCGAGTTTAGGATGTATCGAAATTTGGTGGCCCCAGAGGCAGGTGTGCGGGGCACCCACTGGATCCGCGGCGTGGCTGCAGAACGCGCTTGGGAGGTTGAGGGGCGCGGGGTGGGGCCGGGCCGGGCGAGTCGTTACGGATCCCAGTAGTTCTCGTGGTGCTGCGCGGCAATGATGATGACTACGGTGAGGATAGTACAGAGCACCATGGCTGCGATACCCACCGCCAGGGAGATGAAGGAGAAGTTCCGGGCCTCGCGTGAAGCGATCTCGGCAGACACCATGTCTCCGCGGGCCAAGGCCGTGCGCACCTGCGGGGGAAGGGCGGAAGCAAGAGGATCAGAGCTGCTGCGCCCTCTGAGATGCTCCCCCGAACATCCAGCACTCCCTTAGAACAGGAAAAACCGAGTGAGGCCGCCCTTCCCAGACGCCGCCCTCTACTCCCCTTGCACCTGCACGGCCTTGAAGATGGCGATGATGCCCGTCGGCCAGAAGCAGCAGATGGTGGTCAGCACCGCGATGGGCATGTAGTCGTGCGGCGGGCGCCTCGGCTCCAGCAGGGCCAACCCTGGGCCCTGGGGCGGCGGGGGGAGCGTGGAGGTTACTCCTGTTCCCCCCGGGGTCCCGCCTGTATAGGGCTGTGCAGGGAGAGGACAGGACGTCATTCCCATCCTCTCTGAGCCCGAAAACATTCTGCGTCTGGCAGAGTGGTTTTTAAAGCACCATTCTTGCACTTTGCTTCTCAAAGGAACTTATCCACTACCCTTCCAGGACACCCATGAATTCCGCCTGGATCCCTCTCTTGTCTTCATTGCTGTCATTACCCTGTATTCTTATTGGTCTCCACACTCCCTCCCCGGAAGGTATGGCCGCACCAGGGCTGCCCTAGCTCACTTCAGGCCTTGTTTCTTCTCCGCAAGTATCTGCCTGGCCTTCCCTATTCAGTCAGTTCCAGGTTTCTTCTCCCTTCTCCTCCTTGGTCGCCAGATTTCATTTCTTCTCCCCCTCTCTCTTTTCCTTCTTTCAAACGTCCTCTGGACTTCTGTGCTCCGTTCCCCTTCTCAGACCCTGATCTCTGACCCCAACTGACTGCCAGATCCTCCTCCCCCCCCAACACACACACATTCCCAAGCCTTTCCTCAGTCCCTCCTCTCCCTAGGCCTTGTCCTAGGAACCTGCCCGGTCCCGTGGCCCTGTTTCTCTATCCCACCAGCCCCCAGTGTGTCCCCAGCCCTTCCTCCCAGGCCCCTGTCCACCCTGTACTCACCGTGCCTACCGGGTAGACCGGCACGTAGGCAGTGCAAGGCTGCAGCTGTAAGGGGTAGCCAGGGGCTACGTAGCCCCCCAGTGGCAGCGCGCCTACCGCCCCCGTGTGCGTGGGCACCACGAAGCCCGGAGCCTGGGCAGCATGAGAGGGCGCCGGCGGGGGCGGCGCGGCGGCGGCTGGCGGCGGCGGGGGCAGCGGGCCCTCGAAGCGAGTCTCCTGCAGGTAAGGGTCGGGTGGCATGCGGGGCAAGGTAGCGCAGCCGGGTGGGGGCGCCCCGGCGGCCGGGCCGGGCGGGGCGTGGTGTGGTGGCCGCGGCAGAGTGGCGGAAGATGAGGGACCGCGCTGAGCAGTGGCCGCGGAAGAAGCCAGGCCGCCTGCCCCTAAGCGCGGGAGGGTGGCGGTGCCGGACTGGTGGTAGTGGTGGTGGTGGTGATGGTGAGAGGAAGGGGCTGCCTGTGGGGGAGGGGCGGGGGGTTCGGCCGGGGGCTGGGGGGCATTATAGGGTGGTGGAGAGGTGTGGGGGACTGAGTCTGAGAGGCCTGGCCGTGGTGAGCGGAGGAGAGGGTATGGGGACAGAGACAAGCCAGGTAGAGAAGAGATAAGGAAGGGGGTAAGGGAGAAACACAGAGGGCCAGGGATGGAGAAAGATAATGGGAGAGACAGAGGAGATGGGTGAGAAGCCATCTCTTGGTCTTGGGGCAGGAAAGGGGTTGTATCTAGGCCGTCTGTACCCCCCCTTCTTTTTTTCAATCTAGTTTTGAAGTCGCAACTCTCCTCCACTCTTCTCCATCTACAGCAATGTGCCCATACATAGCTTTCACCTTCCACCCAAGCTACGGCTGCCTTGGGCTTGCCCATCTGAGCTAGTCCTGTGTGTGCACGTGTAGACATGCAATACTGTGTTAACATGTGCTCAATTCAACAGTTGTATAAACACATGTAGGATGACATATTCCACTCTGCCTTCTTGTCCTGGGGGGGGGGGTGCCCTAGCCTCTCTGGGAATCCCAGTTCCTCTTTTGGGGCAGATAAAGAAGGGTCTTCTGGATTTTACTCCCCTGACAACCCCCATCTGATCATATCTTTATATATCTCCACTGGATGTCTCCATGCAAGCCAGTGTCATCTGTCCATCTGTCACTCCCAATGATGCTATTCTTGCAGTACCTGGCTGATGCTAGGCCACTCTGTACTTCCCTCACCCTTTCAACCTGTCCCCTTTCCGTGTTGTTGGCAAGGGGACGAGGCTGAGATTGGAAGGAGGAAAGGAAGAGAAGGGAGGGATATAGAAAGAGAAGGGGGATGGGGGTTGAGAGCTGGACAGAAGGGGAATGAAACAATCATTCCCCCCGCCCCCCCCCCGCCCTGGAGGGGTAAGGGAGGGAGGGGGTTGGGGCCAAGGATGGGGGGAAGAGTCCGGAGATGGTGGAAAGGGCAGGTTTTGTTGTTTTTTACCTGACTTTTCCGATGACATGCCTGTGGTCTGGCTGGGACAGGGTCCCTGCAGCGGGAGTCGGGGTCCCTGGCTGGCGTCGGAGTCTCGGTGTGCAGATTGCGCAGCCGGCAGCAGCACAGAGATGAAGAGATGAAGACAGCGGCGGGGGGCGGAGGGAGAGCGGAGGGGGGGGGAGCTTAAAGGGACCGAGGAGAGGGAGGGGGAGAGTTTCCGAGGTCCCCTCACTCTGTCTCTCCTCCTCTCACCCCGGCATTCAAGCCCCCAGTTTGGGCTCCCTTGGAGTTGTCATGGAAACAGGGAGGCAAGCAAGACCAGGCAAGGCGGGTGGGACCAAGAGAGGGAAGGAGGGAGGGAGAACTCTCTCGAGTCTTCCCCTCTAAGGCTGGCTGTAGTGATTATATCATGGGAGGAAGTGAGCTGGTGCTCAGTGGATTCAGTACCCCAGTCCCCACTGGATCTGGTTCACCCTAGTCAGGGGCCCCCCTCCTCAGCTTCCCTCAGAGTCCCTGCAAGTTCTCAGGATCTTCTTCCAAATCCTTAGCTCTACTTTCCCCCACTTAGGAAAGATAACTGTGTATGAGGGAGAACTGCAGAGCTGAGACCTGAGATGGCTTGAAGAGTTCCCAGGGTTATGGCCTGGGGTGAACTGCAGGTAAAGTGGGAGGCTTGGGTCTATAGTGGTTCAGCGGGAGTTGGGCCTGTGGCTGGGGGAGTGGGGGTGGGAGGACAGAGCGGAAGCTTGGGGGATACAGAGATACCTTTTCCTCCAGGCTGAAGGAGCTGAGCACTTTGGGAGAAGGAGGGGATGGATCAGCTCCTTTCTGGCAACTCCGTTTTGGGAATATGTGCTTGGTCTCCCTTTCCCCCTTTGATAATTGGGCTTCTTAGAGTTCCTGGGCGCGTCAGTGTTCAGATCTATTTTTTAAAATCCCAGCGACCCACCCACCACCCCTGCCAAGACGCGACGCCACCTCCTGAATCGACAGGAGTGTGTGTGGTGGTGGTGGAGGGGGAGGTCCGAGCACAGCTGTAATTCCGGTCTTTTATTTGTTCGTCGTATCTTGGGAGCGCTTATATAGGGAGGGAAGGTGAAGGTACTACTGAGACTTACAGGAGTTGGGCTTTTTGCAAAAACACAATCGGGGAATCATTAACCCTCCCCGGCCTCCACCTTCAGATTAGTACTCCCCATCCCCCGCCTGAGGCAGTCGCCCTCCCCGGCTGTGTCCTTCCCCTCTGGGTCCACGCGGAGCCTACAGAGCTGAGGCCCTCGCCTGGACCAGTCCTAGGCTCCAGACATTTAGGTCACGGCCCCAAACTGGTCGTTCTGGTTTCCAAGTCGTTCGGGTTCGCTCCTGACCCCCTACCGCCACCCCACCCTCACATCACACACCCCGGGGCACAAATCGGTTTTATTGAGACTTTAGACCTGCGAAGACCTTGTGAATAGAGGGAGGGATTCAGACAAGCTTCGAAATCCTTTTTCCTCAAGGGAAGCGCCTTTAAATGCTAAGTGAAAGCCTACCCAGGTATCGGGAAGGGGTCACAGGCGGAGGTGCGGGGCGCCTGGAGCTCGGGAGTCTGCATGCGGTGCGAGGGTCTGCGTCGGAAGCCGCCCACAGGAGCTCCCAGCTAAGGGCAGATTGTGGGGGTCCCTCAAGTTGAAAGACGGGTGGAAACTACGCGAGCGTGAGTCAGCGCTGCCCCGGGGGCCCTCCGCCCCTTGAAGGTGGGTCGTATACCGGGAGCCGAGTAGAGTAGGCCAGGAGAAACTGGGCCAGGCTGCACTCTTAGCTCGAGGGGCCTCGAGGACTCTTCGCGTCCCTGGAGACAAGGGCACTACACACACTTCATAATGAAGAGTTGTAAGACGCTGACCTGGGGCCGGCCAGCGGGCGGGTAGGGGTGGGGTGGGGGCCGCCTGCGCTGGCTTCAGCCCCGATCCGGCGGAGGACGAAATGCGGAGGGTTGCCTTTCCCCGGCCTATTCTCCAGCGCCCTTCCCCCCCACCCCCCAGCCTGGGGGAAAGAGAACTTCATGTTCCTCAGCGGAGCGGGACGCCTGAATTGGGAAGTGGGGCAAATCAAGGCCAGGAAATCGGACCCTCGGGTCGCTGGTGCAGCAGGGTCTGGACTGGCCTTCTCTCGATTCCCAGGATATGTTTGCCGCTTCTTCCTCTCCCCACGGGCCTAAATGGATCGCTCTGCCTGTTTCCTCCCCCGCTCCCGGAAGGCAGTGGAATGTTCCATTGCCCCTCCGGTCCGGGCCTGCGTTACAGGGGACGCGGGCACGGTTGCCAGGGAAAGCCCCGGACGTGACGGCGAAGCGCGACCCCTAGCAGCCTCCCCTCTCCCATCCGTCATTCCCCTGCGCGCGCTCTCCTTACACCCTTCCCCTCCCCCCGCGGTTCCAGTCTAGGGAGAAGTAAGCAGCAGGCGGAGCCAGGCTCACTGACCTAGGCCAGGTGGGAGCTTGCATTCTCCAGGAGGCTGCGCTGCTGCTCAGGGGTCTTTTCTTGCAAAACCCAGGGTCGGGCATGGCTGGGATGGTGCATTAGGAAGATCCTGGGCCTAGGGACAGAGTCCCCGCTGAGTTGGGGGCGGGGTTTCGGGTGCGTGTCGGTGCGTCGACGTGTAGGGGGGTGTGTTTCCCTACAGCCCTGAAGTAAGTTCAAAGCGGGCTATTTTGTGACCTGGACCTAGTGTGAGCACGGGCGGGAGGTCTCGAATGCCGGCGTCTGCTCCGAGGGGAGAGCGTGTTGCCATCTGTCTCACAGGCCCTCATCGCCCCCTTCTCAGGCGGGAGCATGCTGGGCCTCAGGGGGCTGCGGCTCCCCCCGGCGGGGATCCTGCTCCTGTTGCCGTTCCTGCAGCCGCGGCTGCTGCCCGCGGCTCCCGCGCCCCATCGCGCTTCCTACAAACCGGTCATCGTGGTGCACGGTCTCTTTGACAGCTCATACAGCTTCCGCCACCTGCTGGAATACATCAACGAGGTCTGGCAGGGGACACCCGGTTGTGGGGCGTTGGAGGCGTCTGTAGTGACGGGGGAAGGAGAATGGGGAACTGAAAGCTGCCCTTCTGGGCCTGCTCAGTTCCTCGAGGAGCTGGGGCCGGCGTTGGGAGAGTCGAGGGATGAGATCCCGGGTTCTAGCAGGGCGCAATAGGCATGTGGACGCTGGCCCGGGGGCGGTGTGGAGGGAATTCATAGTCCATCCCCTGTTGCAGCATTGCCCCCTTCCCACAGACACACCCTGGGACTGTGGTGACAGTGCTCGATCTCTTCGATGGGAGAGAGAGCTTGCGACCCTTGTGGGAACAGGTGCAAGGGTTCGGAGAGGCTGTGGCCCCCATCATGGCAAAGGCCCCCGAAGGGGTGCATCTCATCTGCTACTCGCAGGGTAGGCGCCCTCCCCTTCCCGACTTCTAAGCCCTATCTGAGGCTTGATCCTTACCTGAGGGACACTTCCTAGTGTCCCCTTTTCTGAACCCCAATGTTCCAGCCAGAGCACTAGTACCTGAGACCTATTTTTCTGACTTCCCTCAGCACCTGGGTCTTATCTCTGTGTCCCCAGTGGGAGGGAGGCTCCCCGCCTTGCTGCTCCCTTTTGCCATTACCCATGGTTCTTGGACATAAGGGATAGTGGGGCAGTAAAAAAGCACCCTACAGTTAGAGTCAGAAGACCCAGAATCTGATTCCGGCTCTGTCACTTACACGACGTGTAACCTTTTGCCACAGGGTGTGCCTGCTTTCTCTGGGCCTCAATCTCCTTACGGACTTGTGGTGGTGGGGGGCCGAGTGGGTAGGCTGTTGGCCTGGCTGTCGCTAAGTCTCAGCCTAATGTGGCATTCTGTTTCCAGGGGGCCTGGTGTGCCGGGCACTGCTCTCCGTCATGGATGAGCACAATGTGGATTCTTTCATCTCTCTCTCCTCTCCACAAATGGGACAGTATGGCGGTGAGTGGGGATGGTGGGCTCCATAGGGGGCCCTGAGGTTTGGGGACACACAGGTTTGGGGCCACTGGACACTGCTGTTCTCTTGCCAGATACGGACTATTTGAAGTGGCTCTTCCCTACCTCCATGAGGTCTAACCTCTACCGGATCTGCTATAGCCCTTGGGGCCAGGAATTCTCCATCTGCAACTACTGGCACGGTGAATAGGGGATGCCAAACTGGGGTCTGCATGGAGGGGGCACCCTGGGGGTAGGGCCTGCTGCTTCCCTGTACCATAACCAACAGCGGTGATGCTGAAGATAACGTATATGTATTGAGCATGTACTATGTGAATAGGCACTGTTCAGAACACTTTATTATTACCTTATTGCTTCAGAGTGTAGTCTGGGGCAGGGGTCAGCAGACTTTTTCTTTGAAGGGCCAGATAGTAAATATTTGGTTGTGACTGTTTTCCTTACCTGTAAAATATAGTATCTACCCTATAGGGGGTTGCAAAGATTAAATAAATTAACGAACGTGATGTACTTTGAACAGTACGTGGCATCATAGGTTCTGGGTAAAGGTGTTTGCTGTCATGTTTACAATTATTATTGTTGTTACTGTTATATTAGTATTCACCTTGTCTATTATTGTAGTCCCCTGATTGGCCTTCCAGCCTCTGGTCTTGCCTCTTTGCCCTGCTTCTCTGACTCTCTTTCTTTTCTTTTCTTTTTTTTTTTTTTAAGATTTTATTTATTTGACAGAGAGACACAGCGAGAGAGGGAACACAAGCAGGGGGAGCGGGAGAGGGAGAAGCAGGCTTCCC